TTTCAAGCATGCTTTGTATCAAAGCTCTGAAATCCCAAAGAAAAGAAACAAGTAAATTTAGTTCTCATTGTTCATTCTTTACAAAAAACAATACAAATAATTAGTAGATTCAAGTAGTTGACTGACTGTGCATCAAAAGACACAAGACTGGGTCTATGGCCATGCCACCCTGAACAAGCCCGATCCCGTCTGATCTCGGAAGCTAAGCAGGGTGGGGCCTAGTTAGTACTTGGATGGGAGACCACCAAGGAAGACCAGGTGCTACAGGCGTAAAAAAATAAAAAATAAGGGATTATAAACTAACAGGGTCCTTGCAATCTGTCAGGTCAACCAAGGGTTGCCTCGCCTGAAAAAAGGAAAAAAAAAGAGTGCAAAGGTATCCCATGAAAAGGCATACGGTCCTATAGGAGAAAATACTGCAAATCATATATCTGATAAAGGGTTAATATCTAGAATATATAAATTCACACAGCAACAAAATTACAAATAGTGAGATTAAAAAATAGGCAAAAAGACCTGAATAGGTATTTCTCCAAAAATGATATATGAACGGCCAAGAAGCATATGAAAGGATGCTCAACTTCACTGATCATTAGGGAACACAGATAAAAACCACAATGAGATACTATCTCATACCCATTAGGATGAGTATTATCAAAAACCAAATTGGGTTGGTGAGGATGTGGAGAAATGAGAACCTTTGTACACTGTTGGTAGGAATGTAACGTGGTGTTACGTCTATGGAAAACAGTATGGCAGTTCCTCAAAAATTAAAAATAGAATTACCATATGATTTAAAATTTTTGCTACTGGTTATATACCCAAAAGAATTGAAAGCAAGGTCTTAAAGAGACATTTGTGTACCCATGTTCATAGCAATATTAGTCACAAAAGCCAAGAGGTAGAAGCAACCCAAATGTCTATCAACCAATGAATGGATAAACAAAACGTGGTATACATACAATGAAATATTATTTAGCCTTAAAAAAGAGGACAATCTGATACATGCTATAACATGGATAAACTGGAAAACATTATGCTAAATGAAATAAGCCAGTCACAAAAAGGCAAATACTGTATGATTCCGTTTAAATGAGGTACTTAGTCAAAAACCATAGAGACAGAAAGCAGAATGGCCTGGGGTTAGGTGGAGGGGAAAATAAGGAATTGTTGTTTAATGGGTAGAGTGTTTTACAAGATAAAAAAGCTCTGGAAATTGGCTGCAAAATGGTATGGATATATTTAAAACTACTGAACCAAATGCTTAAAAATGGTATGATGGTAAATTTTGTTATCTATATTTTTCAACTAAAAAAACCTGACTGAGACAATTATATATTTGGTACCAATAATATTCTTAAAGAACTAAGTACACATCAGATTTGGGCAGTCACATTAATCTAAGTCTCCTCATCAAGATTATTAGTAAAATGTTACTTTACCTCTTCCCTTAATCTCCTTAATCAAGAGGTGAGTCTCAGTCCCCTCATCTGTCGTGAGGGGTTGGGAATGGATGCCCTCTCTAGTCCTGTCCACCTCTGAACATCTGTGGGGTTCCATATTCCCCAAATGCGTATGAAGAGGGCATGACAGACAGATATTACCTCTGCCTTTTCTCGGCAATCCTCAGGATATCGCAGGTTCTGGTAAACTTCTCTGACAGCTCAAGGGTCAAACCACATTCCTGTAGCAGTGACCAGGCCCGATCTGGACCCATGGCCTTAGCTAATAGCAGTGCCACATTCTCCACGTTGATAGGGGAAGGTCCATCACTGAAGTTCCCATTTGGTGACTTCTGGGGGACTGGCTTTGTGCTCTTGTTCTGCACAAGATGTAGAAGCAGCTTCCATTCCTCCATGGTCTCTGGGATCCAACCTACACAAACACACAGGAATATAGAAATGTTGGCTCTGACTGCTCTTAGCACTCTGCCTGCACACAGGAGGTGGCCAAACCTTTTATAAATATCTTTAATAACCAAACATACCAATATTAAAGAACATACTCTCATCACTCTAATAAAGTTGTTTTCTGAACATTTATTGAATAAATTGTTCATGATAAGAATAAGCCACAAAATTAGCTTCAAAATTCTTTCATTCACTTACTCAGTAATTACCCAGGGCATATTCTATGCTGGACACTGGGTATGTAATCAAGAACTCTTGTGGAGTTTACAGTTTAGTAAAGGAGACAGAATTTAGACAAGCACATAAATAAACCTATACTTATAAACAGTGCTAAGTGCTATAAAGGAAAAAATCAAGGATCTATTAGAAAGATTTGCAGATTTTTTACAAAGATCTCAGAAAGGCTCAACAAGGAGGTGATATTTATGCGGAGAGCCAAAAGATGAAACAAGCTCAGATTTAAAAAATGTGCATGCAACACACATACACACAAACTTGAAGCTGGGAATGACAGGAATGGTGAGTGAAAGAACCTGCATTTCTGACAAAAGGAAACAAGGAAGATGTCCTGACACAGGAAAGAACCTGAATTCAAGGAACTCAAAAAAGGCTGATAGTGCTCAAAGGCTGTAGTGAATAGTAAGAATGAGATGACAGGCCCAGGCCTTAAGGGTCTAGCTTCACAATCTCAATTTTGTTCTGAGTTCAGTGTGAGGGATTTCAAGGAGGAGAACTACATAATTCAATTTGTTTAAAAAAATAAATAAATAAACATTCTAGATGCTGTAAAGACAATGGATTAAAGGTGAGCAAGAATGAACTCCAGATGATCAATTATGAGGGTATTACAGAGGTCTAGGCAAATATCTAGGACCCAAGTGATGGTGGTGGAGCAAGAGAAAGAAGATATAAATTGGCAGTGAAATCAACATACCTTGGAGTGATTAATATTAGTTATGAGAAAAGTGTCAAGAAAAGACCCCATTTAACACACCAAGGGCAAAAATAGCTAATATTATATTAAAATATTCTCTGGGTGGGGAGGATTTTAAGTTATATTTTCTTTATGCTTCCTGAATATTTTTTTCTATAACAAACATCATGTTGTAACTTTAAAACTATAAATTGTTTATATTTTAACTATTCTCGTTATTTTTCAGAAGTGTATGCCATGCCTATAGTACCAGTCCTACAGAACCTGGTCCTCTTTTTTACTTCTGAAACAAAGATATCAATAACTTTTGCTACAGTTATGATATCTGAAGCTAAGTCAACTGGCTTCTTCGCTCTGTTCTAACGTTCTCTTTCCCACACCAGCAGGGCTGAAAAGACTATAGATTACACTGCTGGATGAAGGGCCCTGATGCCTTGCTGTTGGCATCTCTGCACTAAGATGAAAAAAGCAACACTATAGAACATACCAAAGTCATCTCTCTGATTGCAGGATAGATCTAAGACTTCAGACATCAGTGTGTCAAAGTCTTGGCCTTCTGATTGACATTTTATCTGTATTATTAATAACAATTTTTTTTAAGTATCTAAATATTTGTGAAAGCTTAGTGAAATCTGACTGCTACTTCACTTTAAATTCATCTTAATGATCTCTAATTTTTGGCTGTGTAAAAAGTCAACATAATGCAGAGAAAAAATTCTGAGCACAAGCTTTAGAGATAATCAAATAGGTGTGAACACAAGCTCCACCAGCTGTATGGCTTCGGGGAAGCTAATTGTCTTTCTTCTGTGCCTCAGTTATAACTTCTATAGAATAGGAATAAAAGTAACTCTCCTAAGGGTTTGTTATCTCATTTAAATAGCATATGGAAAAGTACCTGGTATTGTGCCTAATACATAGCAAGCACTCATTAAATAAAGAGAAAAGTTGTCTGTAGTTTATTCCTAATTGTGATTTTGTAATTACCAAGTAGTACAGATCAAAAAAAATAAAATAAATAACAAACAACAACCACAAATTCTACAGCTGGCTAGAATTATATACAGGATCACTGAAATGTTCACCAAATTTCTTTATTGAAAAGTCTGGAGTGACTTCTAAAATACTACAACCAAGAGCAACCAGTTGGGATTTACATACCACTGTCCCCTTCCATCAGGCTCATATCATTCAGATACACAATGTTGGTGAAGGCTTCTCTTCTTCTCTCCAGCTCCAAACAGAGAGTAAGATATCCATGCCAGAAACTTTAAAGAGACCAAAGTTGAAGAAAGGAATAAAAGGCAATGAAATTATCTGGCACTGCACTATTACAGTAGATACTAGCCATGTGTGGCTATTTAAATTGAAATTAAAGTGAATAAAATTTAAAAGGCAGTTCTTCAGTTGACCAATCTATCTTTCAAGTGCTCAATGGCCACATGTGGCTTTTGGCTACCATACTGGACAGTGCAGGAGAATATTTCCATTATCACAGAAAGTTCTGTTAGACCCGCAGACCTGGTACTAGCCTGTGGCCTGTTAGGAACCAGGCCACATGGCAAGAGGTAAGCAGCAGGTCAGGGAACAAGCTTCATCTGTATTTGCAGCCACTCCCCAGCACTAGCATCACTACCTCAACTCCACCTCAGATCATCAGGCATTAGAATCTAATAGGAGCACTGGTCTTTGATGCCAAAAACACTGGGGACCACTGTGTTAGATAACCCTTTACGAAAAAAGAACAAAAGCTAGTGATAAACACTGATATTTGAGGCCAAGCATCAATTATGAGATTCAACACAAAATCAGCATATTTCTTCCCCAAATATGCAAACTATGGAAATTCTCCTTGACTCTTCTCCCTCCTTCATTTGCTATAGACAATATTCTAAGTCCTACTGCATTTTCCTTTAAAATGTCCCTTGCATGTGGCTCCTTTTGCTACCCTACTAATCACAAATTCAGTCATTCCTAAATTATTGCAACAGTTTCCTAGCTGGCCTTCCTGTCTCCAACCTTTCGTGTGTATGACATTAATAATGATCTCCAAAAAGCTCCATTTTTAGTCATCATTTTTAAAAATTTATTTAATTAGTTTCATGTATACAGTACATTGGTTAGACATCTATATAGTTCATAGAACAATCCCCCCAATTGCTCCCTCTCTTCCCAGGCCCACCACCTAACCAACATATTAATGCTGACTGCATTCCCTATGCCATGCTCCCTATCTCTGTGACTACTAATTTGTACTTCTATCAACTAATTTGTATTTCTGTCAACTAGTCTGTACTCCTATCAACTACTAATTTGTACTTCTTTAACCCTTCATCCTATTCTTCCAGCCCCCCAAATCTCCTCCCCTCTGTCCATCACCAAATTGTCCACTATATTTGTGAGTGTTTTTGATTAGTTTGTTCTTTTTGTTCCTTAGATTCCACACATAAGTGAATCATATAATATTTATCTTTCTCTGACTTATTTCACTCAGCATAATAACCTCTAGGTCCATCCATGTCATTGCAAATGGTAGGATTTCATTTTATTTTATGGCTGAGTAATATTCCATTGTATATATGAACCATAATTTCTTTATCTAATCATATATAGATGGGCATTTATATTGCTTCCATATCTTGGCTATTGTAAATTGTGGCTCCATTAGGGTGCATAGATCTTTACAAATTGTTTTGGTTTTCTTTGGATAAATACCCAGAAGTGCAACTGCTGGGTCAAAAGGTATATCCGTTTTTAATTTTTTGAGAAACCTTAATACTGTTTTCCATAGCAGCTATACCAATTTGCAACCCCACCAACAATGTATGAGGGTTCCCTTTTCTCTGCATCCTCTAATCGTGTCATTTTTGTACCAAAAAGTCTAAAGGGTCTCTATTGATAACTAATTCGTCTGACTAGTTTTCAAGGTCCTACGTGATCTCATCACCTACCACCTGGCTAGTATCATCCATCACTATCAATGAATAAATATGTATCAAGTACCTACCACTGTATGAATTAGGCATTATGAGGGAAAAGGAAAGCATAGGTCCCTATCTCCAAAAGATTATAATACAAGTGGAGCCATAAGATAATATAGTCAGACAATAAATAACAGGTGGTACTGATAAAAAGCAAGGTCACCTTTTCATACCCTTATTCTTGCTGTTTCTTTCACCTGACCTGCCCTCCTCCTAGTTCCTTCTAAATATAATCCCATCCAGCCTTCAGGGTTTACCTCTAAAGTCTCTCCTCCTCCCTGAGTCCTTAACAAGCAATTCTATTGAGCCCATTCTGATCTCTCCTACTTGGAAATCCTAGAGCAATATAACTCACAGTCTGGTGCTTAATTAAATACTACCAGCATGCCTGAGAACTGGGACAAGAAACCAAGCAGAGGAGGAGAGAGGAATTATCAAGTGCCGGTTTCTTCTACACAAAGGAAAAATATGCACAAAATTTAAAAGGAAAAATATGTTTACTTTACTATCACTTAAAACAAAAAGATATTTTCCCATAACAAAGAGAATTCCCAAATAGTAAAGCATTATCAATTCAGGCCCTTAACTACAGTTATTAACTCCAATGATTCTAATCTAAATTTCAGCTTTTAAGAAAATTCTCATTTACCCACGAGACCTGCAGATGTCAGTCATTTTTTCTTTGGTTGTAAAATCTGCAGGTAGTTTAATCAGATGAAGGATCAGCTGACTGTAACCCCAGGAAAACAAGTGTGAATGAGGCCTGTAAAATGAAAAACATTCAGTAAATTAAATAAGAAATAAATTCCACAAAATGCTTATTAATCACTAATATGTAAGAACAGAGTTTAATTACATTTGTTCCATTATTATTACATTTTTTAAATACTTCCACTTGACTTTCAAAAAAAATAGCTCTTTTTCCTATAACGTTTTTTCTTTTTAATTAGACATTTTAGGTAATCAAAAACGAACAAAAAAAAGAAGCCTTTAATTCCATCACTCACAGATCGCCATTGTATATCTTTCCAGACCTATTGTCTAGACATATAAGATAGGCATTTGAGGGGGGGCTCTTAAAAAGCTTCTCCTGGAGGAAAACACAAGAAACATTTCTGATACGAGTATCAGTGTTTTTTTTATAAATCCTTTTTTTTATTATTAAAACCTAAATCAGGTACATCTACAAATTTCTAGGAAGAAAACACATAAAAACAATTTTTTCCTTCTAACACAGCTTTAATCATCGAGGGTTCTTCAATGTGGGGCCACACAAGTTTCAGAAGGTCAGTTTAATTTTCTGAAATCACATGCAAAATTTTGCATGGATGTGCATTTTTTTGAGATAAATCATCAGATTCTTATAGGATCTGTAACTCAAAAATGTTCAGAACCAATAAGAAGTGCACTCAATCTCATTACTACCATTACTTGGGTCAGTCTCTATCATAGTTGTTTCTGAAGTAAGCCCAGAATGCTATGTGTGCATAAACCAGTTCCATTCTAAAGGAATATCAGAGTTTAGAAGGAAGACTTCTATACCTGGGGTTTCCTTCATCATCCAGAGTGCTTGTGCTTGGGGGAGCATCGTGGGACACTGCCAAAAGCAGCCAATCCAATCTTAAAGACTCTGGTTGTAGAAGGGACTCAAGGAAGGATGGCCTAAAAGAAAATACAAGAGAAAAATCACCAATCTTCATGCTAAGAAAGTAAACAAAATTTGAGGATGCAAAGATGTTACTGAGGAATCAATATAGTGAACGAAATAATGTGAAAACCCTTCTGCTACAAATGTCTAGAAAAGCTGGTGAAAATCTAATAGGCTTTTAAATGAACAGTTGAACGCCAAGATAATAAGGAAACTACCAAAGGTACAAAAATGAAAAGAGAAATAAAAACCAGTATGAAAAATGTAAATCAGAGGAAGAAAGAGACGGATGGAGGTTTCTAGTCTCAATAACCAGGGGACACATGGAGATAGGAAATGAAGCCTTAGCCTAAAAAGAGGTGCAGAGCGAGAACTGAGATCCATCCAAAACAGGCTAGGATATCATCAATAAAAAGGTGGTAATATTTCCATTCATTGGGAGATAACAAGGAGGCTTATCTGTTTTAGCTTAGGCCTTGAAGCAGGAGTTTAATTTTACGCTGATGATCTGACAATTCCTGAAAGGGAGAAAGGGAGGAAGGGAAGTGTGGTATGTGCACATTTATGGTGTATATTGTAAACTATGAAAGAATGGTATATGACTGCCAAAATCCTCCTCTTCCACAGTAGATGCCTCAATTCTGTGGCAGTTAATAGTAAAAATGCTACATCTCCTTATACAAAAGATACAATATCCTATCAAAAGAAAGGAGAGTGCAAATATTCTCGCCTTCTTACCGTTGATCTTCAGGTCTTGATTTCACCAGACTATCTAAATAGGCCAAAAACTGAGCAGGATGATGATGACAAAGTTGCATAACATCCAAAGGCAAAATAGATGGGTAAAACTTGATCAAGGATCGAAGGGCAGATTCCCCAAACTTCTCATATAATCTGCATTTAAAAACAAAACATTAAGTCTCCAGCTTCAGTGAGACGATATAATTTGGTTACTTTAAGTTATCTAAGTTCTTATTGGAAATAAAAATAAATATACTAACAAGAACTGACCAATATGCAACTGAGTAAAACTTTACAGACTAATACCAAAAATAATTCACGTGCTCTAGTTCATATAAACAACATAGAGAACAACTTACTGGGCAGCATAAGCAATCAATAAAGGACTGTCAAAAGGGACCGAGTCATCTACTAACTTTAATCTTGTTGGTAAATCGCCTTCTTCCGTTACCATATATGTAGGATTTGAACTTGCCATTTCTGAAAGATAAAGCACACCCTTTCCCTTCATCTCATAGCAGTAAATAGTCAATTCATGAACACATTCATTCAACAATCATTAGTCATGTACCTACTGTGTGCAAGGCCCAATGTTGGTTAAGTATTGTTGGAAAGACAGAAAGATACAATTTCTCTACTTTTAAGGACCTTAATATCAAATTGGGAGGCAAAACATATTAAAAGTTTTAAACAAGATAATATACAAGTGACTATTACCCTTAAAAAGACACATATGTAGATATATATAAGCTAATATAGAAAATAAGCTATGTATCTACCATCAATACCGAATGTTTTTTTCTAGAATCAATGCCCCAACTTCATCTTTTCAAGCAAAATAAGTTTAATTTAATTAAATTTAATTAATTTTAAAGCATTTAACCAGTTTTTTTTTAAAGAAAAACATCAGTTATAGCAAATCTTCTTCCTCTAAAGGAAGATTTGACTTTTAGGAATAGCCAAGTCATTTGAAGCAAAGTGTGGTAAATAAAGTGAATGATGATCTACTTAAAACTTGTAGTTAAAAACATATCTATATATCTGTATGTATGTAAATGAATCCAAAGTAAAATGAGTTTTTTCAAATAATTTTCAACTGGTTCTGAAGGCAAATCCCAAAAAACAGTTACAAAAGCTGTTTTCTATAATTATGACATCATTGGAAGGGTGGAGCCTGGTCAACAGGTCATTTCTAAAAAGTCAATCTTCAATTTCTGATAGATTTGTTTTTTAAAAAACCATTTTCCCATTTCATTGTGTCAGGTAGTTAAGTACTTAAAGGAATTCAGAGAAGGAAGCCAACATTTAAAGCTAGAGAAGTAAGGGAAAGCCCAATCAGGCTGATGGAGACTCTCTTCTGTTATTTTCCTGTGACCAACATTGGGTATGATTACATAATAAAGACTGATAGGAAATTTCAAGTAATAATGTCAAACATTTGAACCTATTTGAAGAGAAAAATTTTTCTTATTTTATATAAAAAACAGTCTTCCTCAATGCAGAAAAAAAGACAAATCATTTACAATCTTAACTGCTAAATATGAATTGAAGCAGAACAATAACTATAAATAAATTTTCTAGAAAACTGAAAGATCTTTAAGTCAGTAATATAAAAATATATCTCTAATTGTGACTATTCACTTTTAGTAATGAATGAACAGTGTGCTTAAAGCATAAATAAATTATTAGAAACATGGCATCTTTTATTCAAGCAGAATGTTCAATTAAGAAAATTTGTCCCTTCAAAAACCTGGGCTATGCAGTAAAAAGGGCATGCATGGTCTCTGGGGTATGAGAGTTGGTTTCTATATGAGCATGACAAATAGTGTGACCTTCAACCAAGTGTGAAGTAGACACTGATGACTGTCAACCAAACTCTGTGGCCGACATAAAAGTTCTTCATCCATATCCATTCTCTTCCTTCTAGCCATCTATTGGATAGGTTATATTTCCCAGTCTCCTCTGCAGTTAAATGGAACCATATGATAGTATTCTTACCAACAGAATGTGTGAACAGAAGAGATGTAAACCACTATCAGGCCAGGCCTATAAGAGAGCATGTCTGCCACTTCCACATGTTTTTCCCAGGATGTAACCACCCAAATCTCAATCACAAGCCCAAAGCAGGAAAGAGTTCAAAAAAATGGAAGGAACTTGGAACTCTGGATTACCACATGGAAGAAGCTGCCCACTGATCTGAAACATCTGTCCTGGACTAGTATGTGAGCAAGAAATAAACTTATATTATATGTGAGTATATTTTGTGAGACATTTATTACAGCAGTTTAGCCTACTTAACTATTGTCATCTCTCTGTGCCTCAGTTTCCTCACCTATTAAATGAAATAATCATCTACTTTAAAGACTGTTTTAAGAATGAAATGATGCCTATAAAGTGTCTAACAGTATCTGGCACATAATACTCAATAAATGGAATATATTATTTCTATGTTAGTAAGTTACATTAGAGATTTTCTTATTTTTATTTATCTGCAACCTAGGAAGACCAGGTTCTGTAGGCATAAAAAATAAAATAAATAAAATACATATCTGCATTTATAAAAATCTTACTTTAACTTTTTCTCCAACATTGCTATGTGATTTTCTGGATAGGATTGAGAGAAAGAAAACTAATTTTTTATAATACAGTTATAAATTAAACAAATGCTTGAAGAACTATTAAAGTAAACTAAGTGGAAAACAGAATGAAGGTTGACCAAAACAGAGGTGATTTTCCATTTAATTCTTATTTTTTAACCTCAAAAATGCCAAGATGCTCTATACTAATTTCTATTTTTGGTAAGACAATCTCAGTATTACCTTTCAATCCTTCGACAAAAGTATCCCAAACACAAGGGCTGTTAGCATAACTAAGCTTGATACTCTCTTTTGCTCTCCTCAAGTCCAGAAGAAAAAAGTACTTCTTTAGGAACTGACAAGCCAGAATTTCAGGAGAGCACTGTTGTGAAGTGTGGTCCACATGTCCATTTGTGCTTTTGATCTCAGAATTCAATACATTCAATTCCAAACATAATGTTGTCAATTCAGCGAGGTCCTTCTGGAGACTGTTTGCTATGCTGCATGGAGGACATACTCGAAAAAGGTCATCCAAGGGCTCCCTCAGACTATTTACAGATTCACAAGATGTTTGATCAACAGTGTCTTCATTGCCTAAAGAGTCCTTTTTTTCTCTTTCATTATCTTCATCTAATATTCCCTTTTGTGACTCATCAAGCGATAGCACATCCTGGTTTGATGTCATGGATGAGTTGCCAGTATCTGAAATGCCTGAAAAGTCCTTCATGACAAATGTTTTTTCTAACTGTGAAAGCCACTCCTGCAAAACCATTCTCAGAGACTTGGGTTCAAATAAAACCAGTGGGTCCTGCAGCTTGGTCCTACATAAGACAGACAAGTATGAAATTTATATTTTATGTGTTTTAATTAAAACAAATTATTTCATGCTAAATAAACCTAATGAATACATTATACTTATCTGGAATAAATGTTACTTTGCAGGTCTTCAATAATTATCACAGCAAGATGACAATACAGAGAACATTATTAACTTTATACTAATTCTTGAATTTCAGTTCCAAATGAGACTACCTCTGCTCCACATTGTCTCAGGACCACTACTGATGATGTCAAAAAGTGATTCCCATTCACTATAAAACTTCCTCATTCATAAACACTCACACTGCTTCTACTGTTGCTATTTTAAGCTCTTGGAACTTATCTTCCTCTGAAGGTTGACTAGTTACTTCTTGTTTTCCCCTAGAAAAGTGAGAAAAGAGTTAGAGGGGATTAGAACTTCCTTAGACAAATATTTCTAAGTGCTTACTAAGTGGCAGGTACTGTACTTAATGTTATCTGAGATAAACTGTTGCGTATACAAAATGGTCCTGGCCTCAAGATGAGTAAGCTCAAGTCAGAAAGCAAGGCATACAAAAAAACAAACTATAATATAAAAGAATAAAATGAATGCTAAAGAGTAGTACAAGCATTCTGCTCAGAAAGCACAGAAAAAGGAATAATTGACAAAAGCTTTCCTGAAGAGACTGTATTTGTGTTAGGAAAAATGGGGAGAAATACTGCAGATGTAAGAAACAACATAAAGAAAGGCAGACAGGACTGAAATTTACAGTGCTTAGAAGGATGTAGTTGAAAATGAGACTGGAAAGGTGGGCTAACATCAGTCTGAGAGCTCCCTTAAATGCCATAGCAATATCTGTACTTTTTTTCCTATGAACATGTAGATTCACCAAGTTATTTTAAGGGTAACACACTTTCCATTTCATCTGACTATCCCAATACTGTGGGCCTATGGATCTCTCTCTCTCTCTCTCTCTCTCTCTCTCTCTCTCTCTCTCTGTTCCTGAATGAGTGCTAAACTTACTTGCCTCTAATGCTAAGATCCCCTCAACTATGAAATAAGGCAGAAACCAGATGGACAAGACACTTCCCACTGTGCCAGACCAAGGGCTCTACCACAACTCTACTGCATAAGAACTATACCATCAGCATATCATAAAAAGGTACAAGGTAAGACATCAACGCCAATGCTCTCATCTTACAGGCGAGAGAATATTAGTGACTTATCCAAAGTCACATGTTAGTCAGAAGCAGAGCCAGGACAAGGCCTAGATCCTTGGTCATCTGAATCTAATACTCTAATATCCCAGAAATTTGAAGAGATTTAGAGGAGAAGGAGGTTGTACAGGAGACAGATGGAAGAGGAGCTAACTTAAAACTGTCTCAACAAACTTTCTATGGGTAAATGTAATTTTCCAACACATAATCTGTGGTATTCACAATTTTTATGAGCTACACAATCAACAATGAACAGAGTCATACACGTGCCTTCTCCAACAGAACATAGTCTATGGCTTTCTTCAAATGGACAGCTGAGTCTTCTAGAATTTACAAAGACTTATATGCAAGGGCTTACTCAGTATCTTCCTCCTTTGGGCAGGTGACTGGACTCACATCTTCTTCACATGACTGCTCATCACCCTTGGGTTCTGGTCTCACTTTCAGATCAGGGCTCGTATGAAGGGTGCCAATCTTCCCAGTAGTTTTACGTACAAAGCTTGAAACACTGGGAGTCAAATAACAAAAACTAATATGAGAAATCTCATTACTGCCAAGAATGAAAAATTCAGTACCTGAGTTCTCTGTGTTCTTGTTAGTCCTAGCCAGGCAACTTGGCCTTAACAAAGAGAAAAACTCTATTTACAACACCGTCCCTAAACAACTACATATTTCGTATAAGGGCCATGTAAAATTTACAGTATAATAAGGATTCACTTCATTTACTAAACTGCCTTAATTCTGTGCTTAAAAAAAAAAAAAAAAAAAAGGTCTTTAACTCCAGTTGTGTCTGCAATGTTTCTGTCAACTTAGGCAAAGGAGGCCATGTGATCACCTGGCCAGAGAATTAACAAAAAATTTCTTCATGAAACTCAGTTGCCAACTAGTCACAACATATCCTTCTTAATAAGCAAAATTTGTATCCAATAAGACTCAGATAAACAGTGAAGTAGCTGTATAAAGTCTTCTCTCTGAAACTCAAAGGCCAATCCTAGTCCCATGGAGTACCTAGAAATACTTCTGAATTCTCCAACTCTGAGCCCAAACTGAGGATCAAGAAATGACTGATACATGGAAACTGCTGCTATCAGGGGTGAGAAAAAAATAAGATTTTAAACTTTTGCTCTGTCTGTGGGTTAAAAACCACATCTATAACAACTCAAATATCCAGCTACTCAAAGAAGGAAGCTGAATTCCCCTAGATGAAAATGAGAAGAGCTCCATGTTAACAGGGTGATATGAGAAATAACCTAGAGACTCTTTTTCTCATTTAAAATGTATTTCCATTCTCAGCACAAAAATACCTAAGGTGATAAATGAAGTAAAACCAGAAATGGGATTAAATGACAAGACTAATTAGTTTACCTTTCCTTGACAGCCTGAAGAGACACAAGAGGAGATGGAGAGCGAAATGATAATGGAATGCCAAAGGGGAGAAAAGTTTCATTCTTATCTGTCTCATACGTCACCGGAACACGAGAAACATTGTCTAATGAATGGAATTGGGAGAGGGGAAAAACAAAATCCAATCACATGAGAGTTTTTTAATCTTTAAAGAAATTCTGAAACAAATAAGCCAAAGAAAACGAAAAATTCAATACCAAAATCACAACTGACCCAGATACAAATGAGCGGAACACAAGTTCACAAGATGCACAAGATGGTCCACATATGAAACACTCAGGCAGGTACCTTCATTTTCCTACTAACCCTGAATCCCCATAAGTCAAAAAGGAAGTTTACAGTCTCTATTAAACTCTTCTCAACAGTTCAGTCACAGGAATGTTCGAACATCAAAAAGTGAAAGCACTGGCCCCCAAACTGTAGTAATTTTTCATTCCTGATGGAAAATAATTTGGTTAGTCAGAATAAAATTGTCCCACTCTTTTGGTTAATGACCTCGTTTCTTAACCTTTCCAGCATTTTGATGCATGATTAAAATTAGCTACTTTACCTATGTTAGCCTAAACATGAGGGTGATCAGATCTATAGGTCTGGATGGAAATTTTATCAACATAAAAATTATTAACACCTAATAGAAAACTCTATACACAAGATAATCTTGGCAAACAGAAGTCACAGAAAATAACTGCTTCACATCTGCAACCAACGAAAGACACACTCATTACCTTCATTTCCATGTGAGCTGAAACACTGATCTGGTTGGTCCTCTTCTTGTTGTGAGGTGAATTCTTTAAGTCTCTCATCTTCTGAGAGGGTCTGGCTGTGAAGGGAACAAGAGTCTTCATCCGACTGACTGCCTCTTCTACTACTAATGATACGATAAATACCAGAGTCCAAGATGCTGAAACTTTCCTGAAAAAATTTTTTAAAAACCAAATTAAAACTTCCCTTTATAACACTATATACCCTTTTAAGAGATAAACCAACAGTAAAAGTAGCAAGTCAATAACAACAATTATGACTTATCAGTACAAACTGGTGAGCAAGGTCTAGGGTCCTGGCAGCTGGGTCACTTTCACATGCTAGTGGCATCATACTACTATTTCTATAGCTTGTCTCCATAAAGCCTCCCAGTGAAAATGGGGATTAAAAGAGATAATCCTGAGCTATAAATTAGCATGAATATCTGAAATCACATAACAAGAGCAACTTAACTTGTGTTGAAGGCTATATGAGGTACATTTGCAAACAGAATATGACAATGACAAAACGAAATGTGACTCCAAGACACACCTAAATGGAGGCTTCAGAGAGCTGTCCAACAGCTGAAAGAAAGCCCCTTCTTGACACCTTTCCCATAAATCTACTATATGGTGAGGAAGATAAGTTTTGGGATCCTAGAGGCAAGTGAGTACAACTTAAGGTAGAAAAATCTTAATATGCAGTAAAACCCTTTTAAAATTGAGAATACCTACATGTGATGAAATGGAGCTTCTTCTACTACTGCAAGCTGAATCCAAAGGTTCAAATTTTAAGATCAATTCTTCCAGTTGAGAAATCAGATCACTAGAGGTTGTGATATCCAGCTGAGATTTCAAATACTCCAATTTATCTACAGTCAAAGATTTTCTTCCCTAATAAAAGGATAAGTAGAAACCTAATAGAATAGCCTACTATTTATAACTAAATCTATATTCAAATGGTCAATATACTGAAAGAGGTCTAATAGAACATAAAACCCCAAAAGTGCTTTAAAAAGGCTTAACAAGCTAAGGAATGACTTAATGACAATTATCTTAGGAATTAAAAATTTAATTAAGAGTTACCATAAGCACAATAATCCCTCTTAAAACAAAGGCTGAAATTCATATAAATTTGTGGGCAAACTTGATATATTTTTTTAAATGAAAAGTATGCCCTTTTTCTTACTCTCCACCCATCCCTAGATTTATTTGTCATGCTTCCTTTGGGAATTTATTGTTGCTTTCTCTGTAGGTCATATAGAAAGGGCTAATAAAGCCAAACAACTCTGTAGCACCATCTTACAAGTTAGAACTGTTTTAACAACCCAGATGAACCTGCAAGCCTCTCTGACTCACTTTGCCAGCAATGACAGAATTTTGGAAAAGACAGCAAGTGCAAGCAGCCAGATTCCACAGGCCTCTCCTTAGCAGGCGTTCCACACAGCGTTCCACAGATAAGAGGGAAAGATGTGATATTTTCCCATTTAGGTGCAAACAGAACAGCTCATTCTTACAGACAGCTACATCCTGAATATCTACAAAAACCACAGGGATGAAAACATAGGATGTTAACCAAATACTCATTTTCCATTTTTGCAAGGGCTGAAATTATTCTAACAAATTCACTTTTTATAAAGATTTGGCTTGACTGAATTTCATCTCTATTTTATACTTGCATTTCAATGAAAAAATCATATTTTAGACACTATTCTGAAAAGAACAATAATAAAAGATACAGAGAAAGAAACACATCTCTCATCTAAAATCCTATGTTTACAATGCTATTTTCTGTGAAAAGGAATTGGGACTTTAAAAGAGGGCATACTCTACATTAGAGGTCAGACTATAACATTTCTGAGAGTTTCAATCTGATGTCAATGAATAGATTTTAACATAATATGTAAACCAACAAACAATTCACGAAAAAACAGATCATGAAAAGATTTAAAGGTAGAACAGGAAAGAACTTTTTTTTTTTAATGCCTACAGCACCTGGTATCCCTAGGTGGTCTCCCATCCAAGTACTAACCAGGCCCGATCCCGCTTAGCTTCCAAGATCAGACAAAACTGGGCACGTTCAGGGTGGCATGGCCGTAGACAAAAGAACTTTAAACGCTAGTTTTGAAATCACTTATATGTGTGGACACTAAAAAGCAGAACTTGTAGAAACAGAGTAGAATGGTGGTTTCCAAGGACTGGGGGTTTTAGGGGAACTGGGGAGCTGTTGGTCAAGGGCACACATGTGCAGTTAGAAGAAGAGTAAGTTCTGGAGATGTAATGCACAGCATTGTGATTATAGTCAACAATACTTCAAAGTTGCTAAGAGACTACACCTTAAATGTTCTCGCCATGGAAGCTGATAACCATACTGCAACATATAAATGCATCAAATCAACACATTATACAATCTTATACAACCTTAATACATTATACAATGTATATGTCAACTTTAAAAAGTTAAACGGAAAAAAAAGTTTTCATGGGACACCCTTAGGGTATTTAATTCACAAGAAATCAATGTTGATCAGATAATGGTTTCTTTCTATGTTTTCACAATGTAGAAAATGACCCAAAAGTCAAAATACACTCTGAGAAGCAATGCTAAAAAAGCTAGATTTCTTACATTCCTGGTTTTAATCAAAATACAGAGATTGATTTTCTCTGTCTTAGCCATATACAGTGACTATTGTTCCCACAAGCACTTTTTGAACTCCAAACTACTGAGACACAAAATAGGAGGTTAAAGCAAGACTTCTAACAGGGGTAAAGGTTTAGGATAAATAAAGGGAAAAAATTAACATATTTGATCCTTAGCAGTGTTTACTAATATTTAAGAATAATAATTTTTTAAAAATTGTATTTAAAAGTTTAAAAAGCATAAAAAACTAAGTAACTGCACACAAATTCACAAATGTATGCTTGTGAAGTACCTTACAATGGGAAACACCTATGATATTAATCTTTATAAGAAATGTCACCTCGTTCTATTTTTCCACTCCTTACACAAAAGAATCCTCCTACAATAATTAAATCTTTCACAAGTACGAGTTTAAAAATTACAAAAGGAAGAAAAATATAATTACCTTTGACTTCACTCCAAAGAAGAACTTGAACATTCTGAGGAATGAAAATATAAATTCCTCTTTCTGTCCAAGTCAACACACAATGCTCACTGCAAGAGAAAATGAAAGAAGTCAAGAGAATTCTAGTTTGCTCAGATATGAAGTTTATGATATAAATCCCTTAATTCAGACTCTCACATTAACTATTAAAAGAAAATCAGTCTGTACAAAGAAAACACGATGACCCAACTAATCATGTCCTAACACCTCTTTTCTGACTATAACAACAGCCTACTAAAAAAAAAATTATAATATGATGCCAAATTAGGAAAAATTCAGATATATACACTAAATACCTCCTAGAAAAAGAAAAGACTAGTATCTTACCTGATGTTTGCTAAAGCTCCTAAACTTCTCATATGTGGTATGACAAGGGTACATTTAAAGCAAAGACTAAACCTAATACCTCACCACCTATCACTGCTTTAGTGAGCCATTTTTACTGCTGGTATATTTTGACATCCTGACTTGTGTGGGGGCAATAAAAGGTTGAAAACACCTAGTCAACCAGGTTCTGGAAACTTTATTAAAGAGCTATATTATCTAACCTTGTAGCAACTCATCAAGATAAATGTTATTGCTATTTAATAATAACATATATATATTTGAAGCTCAGAGGCTATTTCTCATATCTCCTGTTAATATGGAGCTCTTCTCATTTCTATCTTGATGATAATGCATGGGAATAGTGTCTAATATAAAACCGCTGGAAGAGTCAGCAGAGGCTTCAAAGTGGCAATAATTATTGCTGATGCTGAGAAGTAGGCAGAGCCGGATCATGAAGAGCTTTGTTAACTATGGCAGGAACTGTAAAAGGAGTTTAAATAGCTTAACTCAAAGGAATAACTCTACCAGGAGAACCAAGCCGATGGTTGGTTCTCACCATTAGAAAACACACTCTTGGGTAAGGGACTTCCCCACATCCCACATATCACATCATAGTCCATAAATATTTATTAAGTGTCTATGCCAGGCACTGAAAATAAAATAGTGAACAAAACAGACATGGAGTCCTCACAGAGTTTGCTGTCTAGGAGTAAGACGAACATAAATATTGCATGAATATGTAATTATAAACTGTGATAAGGGCCATAAAGTTTTTAATATGCTTTATCTAATTATGGGTAAATAAATAGCTGTCTTTCTCCAGTAACTCAGGATACTTTATGGATTTACGAAAGTTATATTGTCTACAACTTACTTTTAAATACTTTAGTATAGGCAGTGTGACATATACATACATTAATTAGGAGCAATTAACATTTCAAGAGTTAAGTTAAAAAAAATCACATTCTAAAAGCAGTTAGTTAAGTTAGCCTTTGAAAAAATCCAATCAGGAGTCCACACTCCAGAGTATCCTATAATAACCTCTAAATAACATTCTCTGAATCTGCATTAAAGATCTTATGCATTAGCCTACGGGATATTAGAAATAATTTTCCATTGATGAACATAAGTAGAGTTCCAGACATATAGATTGGCTGGAAATCATACACTGGCACCTCCATGTTTGCAGAACAAGGTGTAAGAACTGGCAAGCCTAGAAGCTGAAAGCCTTTGGTGGCACTCTGTGCTACCATTTAATAACAGGCTTTGCACCTGATAGAACTAGAAGGTAACTGAACCCTGATGTTAGAATGTGGCTGGCTGAAAAGACCTCAAACAGATCTTTCATGAAAGGTACTTGTCAGAGCACCTAAAGGACAGAAAACAGAAATTTCAACAAGCTTACAAGAACAAGTTCTACAATTATTTTTCCACCTGCCTGTTAAGAAACATATACAAGTGCAGCAGACTTCAATCTGAGACTGGCTTTCACTGTAACATGTAACAGGTAGGGGAGATTATGAATGAACAAGTCCCTACAGCTCTTAGCTCGAATTGTCAAAGGTTCTCTGACAATTATAAACTGTCCAATAGGTCAGTTCAAAGCAGAAAAGGAAGCATATTTCTACGATCTTTTCATTCCTCTTCTACACAGAACACTTCACATAACACAGTCATTTCCTAATTTTCTAAAAATAATTTAGTACAAAAACAATCTTAAAAAGCTAACTGCCCTTGAATAAAAAACAAAGAGAAAAAGTTAGGTGTTCATTTTTTCTTTTAAAGGAGAAACTTACCTAATATGCAAGAGTTTGGGGAAAGACAAAGACTGGGAGGATGTAACTGTATGATCATACTGCGGTTCAGATCTAGGGAGTAAATAAGGTTGTTAATGACTTAATTACAACATAAAAGTATGCTTTTCCCTATATAGGAAAATAATTTTTGCCTCCAAAACAAACTCAGAGCCTAACTGCATCTGCCCTTATTCAATTTAAGTCATATGAAAGACAGCTGATCAGACTTTTTGGTTTCTCGGAATCTTTTAGTAAAATTCCTACTTCACTCTTAAAAGGCATAATAAAATCTTTAACACATGTAGAATATAGGGATTTCAGTCCAATCCCTCCTTAAAGTTCTTCAAATACTCCTTACCAGCTACATAAATCATTACCTTAGAGTAATCACAGGCAGAGGTGGCGATGAGAGGAGCTTCTTAAACTGATGTGTACTTATAACTTCTCCATCAAAGTTCACTTCCCACATCCTGGAGCCAGGGCGAGCACAATATATTAGGGGTTGCTGGCCCGCAGAACATCTCCCAGGGAAGAAACAAGCTCCATATTCTCCATCTCTTTCCTTGTTTCCAATTTTCCAAAATTTCTCTCTAATGCCCAAAAAGGAAGAGAAAGCATGTTTACCTATAAAAAAAAGTCAAAACTATGGCACTACAAATCAGCATGGCCATAATAACCTCACTCCTAATGTCCTCTCTCTATTCATATTAGCAATATGCTGGAAAGAACAACAAAATGGAAAGGTTAAAACAGGGTTCTAGCTCTAGCCATTAACTATTTCTGTGACAGGAAGCAAATCACTTCACAATAGTTTATTATCCACAGAATGAGAGGCTCAGAATTCATGTGAAGGCCTCTTTCAAATCTAAACAAAGAGTGCCACCAAACCATTTCACACATCCGTAAATCTTACTGATTGCTTTCCAAATCACCTTGTTCTTTGACCACTCCATGGAAGCTACTAACCTACCTCTCCAACCCTGTCTCCCAAGCCATTCCCCTGGCACAAACACCCAATAAGCTCTTCAC